AAGTCAGTTCATTGAAACTTATTTTTGGTCATTATTTTGGAAAAGCAACATTTGCGATTCCATGTTCATAGGAACATTTCTTCTAATTTTTGATCCTGGAACACGCACACGAAGTTTGTAAACATACTTCTGACTCAGCCTGTATAATTGTTATTTCATTCTTAGAAGAGGACAGGAACATTTTTTGAAATGACACCTTTTGAGGGAGGCAGTTAGGAAGGAGAAACAGCGCTTTGTTTCCGTCGCCAATCATCTTAAGCTGCGAAGAAGGCGTCGTGGATTCCCTCCACGGTTTTCTGGCCACCCTTATTACTACATCCAGTCATGATCTTTATAAAGCAAACAGTCTCCCATTTTACGACCGGGAAAAATGACGGCGAAATGTTGGCACAGCGAGATTGGGGCAGACTCTGAAAGAAGACGTTCCTGGGATCGTAAATCGTGTGCTGCGTGGCACCGGCGGGCATCCAAATGGGCCCAACCTCATGGCATTTGCCATGGGAACTCCTCAAGACACCGAAGCTGTTACAGAGACGTCAAGGACATTTCGTGGACCTCTCGTCATTTTAAGCTGTTCACGGCCGATGTCTTTTCGTGAACCTCCGCATTAGAGTCGCGGAATTTTAAATAGGCAATTCCTCGTTCCTTCGCGTGTCTCTTCAGCAGCCTCTGACCTAGGTTTTTGTAGGCCGCGGAGCTTCGTTTGCAAAGTCTGTCTGTCTGTCTGACTCTTTGCATTTTGTAAACGTAGCAAATCAGTGCAGTCTTTACGTACGCGTTTTACCTAACGTTTCATTCAGCCTTGAACGGAATCTGTGAGTAATATTCTCGCACAGCGTTTTAAAATAATTTATCACGAAGAATTTTTTTTTTAAAAAACAACGAAAACGAATTATGCAGTTGTCAGTTAACACACGCGACACAAAAAAACATCTGTTTCCTGGTCTCTGGCCTCTGCGCGAGTTTTCCTATCTCTTCGATTTGTAGCAGCAAACCTTGAAATAAACTGAAGGAATGTTTGCCGTCTAGGAAGTCGTGGACGAGAATGGAGGAATCTTGTATAACATTTTTTTTAATGAAGCGTGTAACATCCGGACGCGAAATTTGCATACGCAGTCGTGGTTTATTGAAAGCAGAACATCGCGTCCTTCTTGTTACAATCACATGCCGCATGGGCAATTATTGATGGCGATAAATGAACACGGACTTGAATGAGGGGTTGCTGCAAGGAGGCGAGGTGATTGATCAAATTTGCACGTCAGATTTTACGTAAATTGTGCATTTCCGTCGGTTAAAGACGTCTTTTTGCTAGCCACGTGTTTCCCAAAGAGAAATGTACCGCCAAATACATCAGAGACTGTTCGCTGACTTCCACTTCAGAAATGAATTTCTGTTAACAGATGCGAGCTCTTCAATTCGAATGTTCTCTTCAGGGATTTTAGTGCGATAGGCCTGCATCATACAGACAACTTCGTTTTATCGACAAAGCACGTTTTGTGTTGCCGGACTTTTCTGACATTAAGAACACGCACGTTGAAAGTGAGTACTGGAAAAGTATTCCTTATTGTCATCTCTTTGCTGTCTGAACGACGGGACCAGTAAAATATGTGAATAGCACAATTCGTGAAGTTGCCCGGCCTGCTATTTGCTATTTGCTTGTTTCGTGTCAAATGAGCTGAAGCGTAGTTCAGAAACTTCCGATTGGGGAGTCGCTGTTACAGAGACGTCAAGGACATTTCGTGGACCTCTCGTCATTTTAAGCTGTTCACGGCCGATGTCTTTTCGTGAACCTCCGCATTAGAGTCGCGGAATTTTAAATAGGCAATTCCTCGTTCCTTCGCGTGTCTCTTCAGCAGCCTCTGACCTAGGTTTTTGTAGGCCGCGGAGCTTCGTTTGCAAAGTCTGTCTGTCTGTCTGACTCTTTGCATTTTGTAAACGTAGCAAATCAGTGCAGTCTTTACGTACGCGTTTTACCTAACGTTTCATTCAGCCTTGAACGGAATCTGTGAGTAATATTCTCGCACAGCGTTTTAAAATAATTTATCACGAAGAATTTTTTTTTTAAAAAACAACGAAAACGAATTATGCAGTTGTCAGTTAACACACGCGACACAAAAAAACATCTGTTTCCTGGTGTCTGGCCTCTGCGCGAGTTTTCCTGTCTCTTCGATTTGTAGCAGCAAACTTTGAAATAAACTGAAGGAATGTTTGCCGTCTAGGAAGTCGTGGACGAGAATGGAGGAATCTTGTATAACATTTTTTTTAATGAAGCGTGTAACATCCGGACGCGAAATTTGCATACGCAGTCGTGGTTTATTGAAAGCAGAACATCGCGTCCTTCTTGTTACAATCACATGCCGCATGGGCAATTATTGATGGCGATAAATGAACACGGACTTGAATGAGGGGTTGCTGCAAGGAGGCGAGGTGATTGATCAAATTTGCACGTCAGATTTTACGTAAATTGTGCATTTCCGTCGGTTAAAGACGTCTTTTTGCTAGCCACGTGTTTCCCAAAGAGAAATGTACCGCCAAATACATCAGAGACTGTTCGCTGACTTCCACTTCAGAAATGAATTTCTGTTAACAGATGCGAGCTCTTCAATTCGAATGTTCTCTTCAGGGATTTTAGTGCGTCATTTGACTGCCGAAACAAATGCAGGTAACGAAAATTAAGATGTTTTGGTTTTGCAATAGGCCTGCATCATACAGACAACTTCGTTTTATCGACAAAGCACGTTTTGTGTTGCCGGACTTTTCTGACATTAAGAACACGCACGTTGAAAGTGAGTACTGGAAAAGTATTCCTTATTGTCATCTCTTTGCTGTCTGAACGACGGGACCAGTAAAATATGTGAATAGCACAATTCGTGAAGTTGCCCGGCCTGCTATTTGCTATTTGCTTGTTTCGTGTCAAATGAGCTGAAGCGTAGTTCAGAAACTTCCGATTGGGGAGTCGGGGGCGCATGCGCGCTAGTACCAAATGACAGACACTGCTGCCCTCTTGCAGTCTCGCATCGTTTCATAACGGCGTTCGTTTGTTAATTTGCCAGCTGCGAAGTTCGAAGGCCGTGACTTAGAACGGGGAGGGAAAATGTAACTTTCTCACGATGGAGTCTGCAAAATATTTAGGTCCTTCGGTTGTGACGATTCGTTCCTAAGAAACTGACAGTCACTTAGCTGGCCAAAATACTTTCCACTTTTCCTAGGACCTGAAGGTCTCTTACCGTGCGGGTGACTTCGACTTCCTAAATTATTTTTAGTCAAGGAAGTGGACCGATAATACGAACTGTGATAACAGTAGATAATTTCACCGAAATTATCGTTCTTCGATACCACATTCAGTAATGTACCTGCAACGCACAGCAGCACCAACAGGGAGAGATAAGATGCGACCTTGAATGTACAAATGTCTGTGATGTCGGTCGGAAATCCGTGGCGTTCCCGAAGCACGCTTCCCTCAAAGTGGCGTTTGAACCCTCGCATTTGCGAGCATGAGTGAAACATGGTTCCATAAAAATTCTGATTGGGCATCTTCGAGGAAAGAGACCACTGAGAAGACCCAGGCGTAGATGGGATGATAAGATTACGATGATTTGTAGAGAAAGAGGTTTTCAGAGTATCGAGTGCTTTCGGGCAGGAGAACCTTCGGCCTCGGTGAAAGTCGGACTCGCCGACATTTACGGCTTGTCTTATTTCGAAAATATTTCGCAGATGTTGATCGTTTAAAAAGACACGTACGCCCGATGTGACTGTCTTCGTACAAAACAATCTAAAGCGATGGAGCGTAACTGGGAAGTGTTTGGACTCCGACGCCGTCTGTCTGCTGGAACGTCGTGGCGATAAATCAGCGAAGTGTAGAAGGAACTTTCGCAGACTTTCGCTTACTACGAATTGGACCGGTGTTACGCAACCTTTTCTGAAATCGCCGCACACTAAATATTGTCCAAGTCATGGCGGCACTCCATATTGTGGGGGGGGGGAGATGCTCTATGACATTGACTGGCCGCGACAACTTCTTACAAGTCGACCCCAACCGAAAAATGTTCATAATTATCCAACAAGATCGCGGTGTCCATTATTCGCAAAGTAGCGAGCGAAAGACAAATTTGTGGCAGGGCGGATGGCCTCTGTGGGAGGGTTGTGTCGCCCCTCTGGTTATAATTATAATATGGGGTGAAAGTTTCGTGGTCCACCAGCAGCTGTTCTACTGAGGTCGCCAGCGGAACTGAGCAAGAGCGGATTCCGGTTGAGGACGATGCGCCATTCGACCACAGTTTATTCAGATTTATTCAGTCTGATGGGAATTGAAAGTCAAGTCTTCGGTGTTGTTGAGGAACGTCAGAACGATTCACGTCACTTTCCATCGCGCTCAAGGATGTGATGCTGAGTTTTCTTCCTCTCTTGAGCTGGTGGAGCTTCAACTGTGGCTTCTGGCAACCAGGTCACGTGGCACTACCGAAGCCATGACCAGGGTGCCCTCCAAAGACCCAGGCACTTCACTCTCAGACACCTGGGTTCTGTGGGGATTTTGTCGCAAGAAAAATTAAGATGATGAAAACACCGATCATCCAGGTTGTGAACATGATAATGGATTCGAAGAAGCTTGGGGCAGGAACTGATGATTTTTACAAGCCACAGCGAGCGCGGTTTCATATTCTCAGGGTTTTTGTATGGAATTGTCCATATTGTGAGGCCAACTTATTCCTAAGTATGAACCGAGATGATTCCTTAGACAAATAGATCTAATTTTATAATCAATTCTTCTCGAGCTGCCAGCCGTATGAGGAGGTCAGGTTACTAAAGAACCCTGACGATCAGGACGAAGCTGGTTCTCGAAACGTTGGTGTTTACAACACAAGCTCATGAAATCACCAATTACACCGCAAGGTAACCCGCTTACCGTCAGCGATGTCCCTTGGAGGAGAAACCTGAGCCTCCCCTCTTCATATTTTATCCGCTCATGCGCGAAGGAGCTCGCTCCCTCGCTCGCTGAGTTGCAATTGTTCAGTGTGTCCTGCGCCGGCCGCTTGGTTCGACTAGCGGCTCGATCGCATTTCATTTGTTTCGATAAGTGATGTGTGCGAACGTTTCCTGAAACACGCAGACTTTGTGGAAAATATCTGGCCTGAAAGTAAGTTGCTGTTAAAACTTTTATCCTTTTGTGGCCAACTAGTCATTTAAGAATCCTTGTCTCACTCTTCGTGATAAATGGAGCACAATTTTTGGTGAAAAGCGAAAAGTTCTTTGATCCTTCATATTCTTCATTGTTTACGATGTGTTGATATGAACTTTGAAGTACCCACTGGACGAGTGATCCGCCCACGTATAAGATAACGGAGGTCCGAGATTTTTGAGAGTTGGAATGTTTAAGCAGTTCACTGACTAACAATTTACCATTAGCAGTAGAAAATGTTCACTTCCCGTTGGAGGCTTCGGAGCACCGAACTCTCGTGGCTGAACGTAAATTTTACTGCAGTTTGTTGAATGTGACACGACGACTTCTGATTAATTCTCGTTGCGTTATTTTACTGGGCAAAATCAAATAGCACGAATGACAGTTCAGAAGCTTTGTTAGATGCTGATACGAAATTATGTCTAGAAGGAAACAGACAGAGAAATCTTTGACTGTTCGTGATTTCTTCACCACGCTGTGGAACAGAGTGCAAGATAAGGGTGAGTTTGACATCAGGACAGTCTTAAATGATAGTAACAGCCACCACCAGCGCGACAAAGTTCCAGAGTTCATCAACAAATCGAAACTGCATTTTACGAGAAGAATTTAGAATTCGTGGCAGTCAGGTGCTTGGAATGTTTTCTGCCATTCAATTCAGAATCTTTTGTTTGCGTTCGAAAGAAGAATATTAAGGTGGGCATGTAGAAGGTGAGTTCTTTAAACTTGGGAAATGCAGGCGTAGAAAAGAAATAGGTCTGGTTCGATGTTGGCTGTATTCCTTTGGCTCAGAAGGGAGAGACTGGTGGCGACCTCCAGGGGGAACCTTTGTGTAGTTGAGCGACGATCAGCTTCTCAAGGAAGTCTCTGATCCAAGCAGGTCCTTTTCTGGACTGTGGAATGTTCTCGGAGGGTCGAGAGTCAAAGCTTAAGCTTCGTCGTACCTCAGGAGTCAGACGACAAAGCACGAGGTGGCAGGTGGTCGTGGGCGTTGATTGTTTCGTGACATCAGAACCACGTGAACTGCCGAGGTTACGTAACTTCGTGTTGGAGAAGATTGCTGGGAAAAAAAGTGCGGGAGGAAGCGATTGTGTCCTGGATATGACGGCGGAAAACTTAGTGCACTTCGAGTTTCAGAAAATCTAATTATTTCCCTTTTTAATTTTCATGCAAAAGAGAGGTTTGGCACTTGGTCGCATTTCACTGGTCAGCGCCTTTACGTATTCACGTAGTCCTGAGTTTGAATCTCGGATCGGAGACTGGCTACTCGAAAGTTTTTCCCCACTTCTCGGTCTCTCCAAAACGATGCTGTGAGGTGTCCTTAAAGCCGTCAATATCTTCATACCAGAGGCTGGAAAGCCAATGGCGTTCGCGGCAGGAAGGTGAAATTGGTGAGGAAGGCGTCGATGTCTGCCTCCTGAACGAGACGCGCCTTGAATCGAATCGAGCCCTGAGGTTCGCAAACTCTTTGCCGCCGACCCGAGGGGAAGGAACAGCGAAATTATGCCGTGGTGACCTCTTCGTACACATCCATCAGCTCCGTGAGGACATCCAAGCCACAGCGGCTAACCGGCCCGATTTTCCTCCTGTGCAAGCTAATTATCGCAAACTTGCCTTCTTACCTGGAGCAAACCATCTCATCATATCTTCACTGCCGAACGCTCGAAACGTCCGCGTGTCCTAGCACGCGGACTGGAGTGGCCCAGGAAGAATGTTTGACCCCGAACAAGGGCTGACTGGTGGCTGCCATCCTCGGGTGTCCCGGAAAAAGCGGCCATCCCAACTGAGGTTTCCGTGATTCTCCTACGCTTCAAGTAGAAAATGTTCACTTCCCGTTGGAGGCTTCGGAGCACCGAACTCTCGTGGCTGAACGTAAATTTTACTGCAGTTTGTTGAATGTGACACGACGACTTCTGATTAATTCTCGTTGCGTTATTTTACTGGGCAAAATCAAATAGCACGAATGACAGTTCAGAAGCTTTGTTAGATGCTGATACGAAATTATGTCTAGAAGGAAACAGACAGAGAAATCTTTGACTGTTCGTGATTTCTTCACCACGCTGTGGAACAGAGTGCAAGATAAGGGTGAGTTTGACATCAGGACAGTCTTAAATGATAGTAACAGCCACCACCAGCGCGACAAAGTTCCAGAGTTCATCAACAAATCGAAACTGCATTTTACGAGAAGAATTTAGAATTCGTGGCAGTCAGGTGCTTGGAATGTTTTCTGCCATTCAATTCAGAATCTTTTGTTTGCGTTCGAAAGAAGAATATTAAGGTGGGCATGTAGAAGGTGAGTTCTTTAAACTTGGGAAATGCAGGCGTAGAAAAGAAATAGGTCTGGTTCGATGTTGGCTGTATTCCTTTGGCTCAGAAGGGAGAGACTGGTGGCGACCTCCAGGGGGAACCTTTGTGTAGTTGAGCGACGATCAGCTTCTCAAGGAAGTCTCTGATCCAAGCAGGTCCTTTTCTGGACTGTGGAATGTTCTCGGAGGGTCGAGAGTCAAAGCTTAAGCTTCGTCGTACCTCAGGAGTCAGACGACAAAGCACGAGGTGGCAGGTGGTCGTGGGCGTTGATTGTTTCGTGACATCAGAACCACGTGAACTGCCGAGGTTACGTAACTTCGTGTTGGAGAAGATTGCTGGGAAAAAAAGTGCGGGAGGAAGCGATTGTGTCCTGGATATGACGGCGGAAAACTTAGTGCACTTCGAGTTTCAGAAAATCTAATTATTTCCCTTTTTAATTTTCATGCAAAAGAGAGGTTTGGCACTTGGTCGCATTTCACTGGTCAGCGCCTTTACGTATTCACGTAGTCCTGAGTTTGAATCTCGGATCGGAGACTGGCTACTCGAAAGTTTTTCCCCACTTCTCGGTCTCTCCAAAACGATGCTGTGAGGTGTCCTTAAAGCCGTCAATATCTTCATACCAGAGGCTGGAAAGCCAATGGCGTTCGCGGCAGGAAGGTGAAATTGGTGAGGAAGGCGTCGATGTCTGCCTCCTGAACGAGACGCGCCTTGAATCGAATCGAGCCCTGAGGTTCGCAAACTCTTTGCCGCCGACCCGAGGGGAAGGAACAGCGAAATTATGCCGTGGTGACCTCTTCGTACACATCCATCAGCTCCGTGAGGACATCCAAGCCACAGCGGCTAACCGGCCCGATTTTCCTCCTGTGCAAGCTAATTATCGCAAACTTGCCTTCTTACCTGGAGCAAACCATCTCATCATATCTTCACTGCCGAACGCTCGAAACGTCCGCGTGTCCTAGCACGCGGACTGGAGTGGCCCAGGAAGAATGTTTGACCCCGAACAAGGGCTGACTGGTGGCTGCCATCCTCGGGTGTCCCGGAAAAAGCGGCCATCCCAACTGAGGTTTCCGTGATTCTCCTACGCTTCAAGGCAAGTTCCAGTGCAAAATCCCACAGGGACACTTCGCGCGCCTCACCCAATCACAGAGACCTTAAGCCGAAGTGATCCCAACATTTGCGGGTTCATAAGTCAACCAAAATCCCAGGACAAAGGACACGTTGCCTGATTGGATAATCTTCTTGAAAAGTCAAGGCCTTCTGCCACGACAAAGTTGCCGTTACCCGCGGTTAGGTTTTGAGGCAAGGGACGATGTCTGGCGCTTGCGCAGAACTCCTCTCTAAGCATTCTTTGCTCTGCAGGGCTGTCACCCGAAATTGCATTTAAGTCAAGATGTTTTATTTTAAAACAACCTTTTTAAAGCCAACAGGGAGAGAGACATTTTGACTTATTATATAGCATCAAGGTCACGGTCCTCTGCGGTTGCCAACTTTTACCTAAGCCAAATCCGGACATTTTTACTCCCACCCCCGTTCTTCGGTATTTGTGTAACATATTTTAAAAATTTCTTAGATCCGGCGTAGTTCAGTCTACTGGCTGGAAGATCGGGGTTCGATCCCCAGCAGGGGCAGCGTGCAGACCTGCTCTGGAGCCCACCCAGCCTCCTGTCCAATGAGTACCGGGGTCCTTTCCCGGGGGTAAAGCCGGCCGGGACGTGATGCTAACCACTCACCCCATCTAGTGCCGAGGTTAAGAGCTATACCTCCGCTCCCCACCCCAAATGACCTGCATGGCGTATAGTGGGACAGCTTTTTCATGTCAAAGTTTTAGAGCTTTCCTGCTTTCGAAACCAGAATAATGGTTTCTCCATTTGGAAAGCAATTTTCGTGCGTTTAAAATTGCTATAATTGTTTGAAATAAAAACTGTTGTTGGAGTTTAATTTGAATTTAAGCTGGAAACTTATTACGTAATCAAACCATGCTTTTGCGCTATAGTGAAAGTTCAATGAAAAAGAGACCTTTTCATTCACGGGGACACAGCGATGTGATTTCACGTCAAAACACGACAATTTACGAACACAAACGCCAAGGCCATAGGTAAAACGTGTGCAGTGGTGGCTGAATATTCGCCTTAAACAGCAGCTGACAAGTTTTCTCCGCTCTCCGAGTTCATGGAATTTGCAGATTCGGTGCATTTCATGTTGTAGTTGGAATGCTCTAGGTTTTCGACGATTCGCTTCATTCTTGCAAATGTTTTTCGTAACACCGAACACTCGCTCCACGAAAACATTCGATGGCTGGAACAAAGGAGGTTAGGTTAGCGTGACTTGGGAATTTTTCTCGCTTTCTTTGTTGTCAGAATGACTTGGTTCAAGCAGTTATCCTTTAATGAGGGCCGTTACTTTGTTGAAATCACAGATCTCCGAAAATAATGGTCGCCAACAGATTCAGAAACCTAAGCGGTCATCCACATCGAGAGGTCCGTCGAGGTTTTGTGCGGATCGCAGACTCTGCGGACCGAGACGAGCCAGAATTGAAGCTTACTGATGCTTACCACGAGTTTAGTTCTGGAAGAATTAGTTTATCGCGATTTAAGAATCATTTCCACGATCAAGAGACGTCCACGTCGCTCTGTTCTTTGTCTTGGCTCGAAAAT